TGAACCGCAAGGAGCTTAGGATCCAGTGGAGCTTAAGATTGTGGTTCCCTGAATACTACCTTAGCATACATACTGGGTTGGCCAAAAAACATCTTATGGAACATCTTACGGAAAAACCCAAACGAACTTTTTGGCTAACCCAATAGCTTACTGATGCTAAAAAGGAAAATGCAGCATGGTGATGTATCTTTCCATATTGATTCAGCCAGTCCCTCTAGATTTGGGCAAATGTTTTTTTCATTCTTGTTCTGGAAAATTACTGTTGCTGATACATTTCTAGGTTGACAGTTATTTTCTTTGAGCACTTTGCATACCATGGTCTTCTGAGTGCTGCTGAAAAGTCATCTGTCAGTCTAAATGTCATCCCTTTACAGGTGATATGCCTTTTTTTCCTCTGGCTGCTTTTAAGACCTTCTCTTTGTCTTTGGTATTCTACCATTTCACTACAGTGTATGTAGGTGTGTATTTTGTTTTATTTACCCTTCTTGTTATATATTGTACTTCCTAAAATGACTATTTATTTCTTCAGTTCTGGAAAATTCTTAGTCATTGCTTCTTCGAATATTGTTTCTTCTTTCTCCAACTTTTCTCCTTTGGGACTTTGATTAACTGCATGTTAGACCTTCTTATTCCATCCTCTATATCTTTTACTTCTCTTTTATATTTTCTATCTTTTTTATCCATTTAATGAGTTTCTTTTTATTTTTTTTTGAATTTTAGTTTATTTTTTTATACAGCAGGTTCTTATTAGTCATTGTGGTACATATATACAATGGAATATTACTCAGCCATAAAAAGGAACGAAATTGGGTCATTTGTTGAGACGTATGTTTTCTATCTTCTTGTCTCTTTGTGTTTCATCCTTAGTAATCTCAATTCCATTTTCTAGTTTATATTTCTTTCCATCTGTGATAAATCTATTACTTAATTCACCTATATTGAGTGTTTTATTTCAGTAATTTTTTCACTTCTAAAAGTTCTGTTTGTTCTTTTTCAAATCTGCTGGATCATTTCTGATAATGTTTCTGTCTGGTCAGTTATTTTCTTAAAACATTTCTTACCTTGTTACTTTCTATTTTGTATCTGGAAATTTCAAACTCTAAAGTCCTTTAAGGTCTAAATTTGTTGTTTTTTCTAACTTTCACTTATGTTTTCTGGTGTGTTTTCTGATATTTGATTATGAGCTCCTTTTTGCTTCATCTCAATCTGTGCCAATCCCGAGAGCCTAGATTAGGAATCTCTCTTCCAAAGAGGACTTACAATTGCTTCTGCCTGAGCCTGGGAGCATTACCAACCTTCCTCCCTGGGAGGAGCTGATGTTAGCCCCTTCCAAGTTGGCTGTAAGGGTCTCAGTTTCACCTGCCTCACCTTGCCCTATCCCAGGCTTGATCTCTTAATTGATTACCAGTATGGCATTTGTTTTCCAGGCAATCCCACCTTTCATATTTGTTTACTACTCATTGCTTCTACCTCTGATTTCAGCTCACAGTTTTTATTTTAGTTTGCTGAGATGTGAGAGGGATGGGGTGGATAATGGGTGGAGTCCTTGAGATTTTCCTTATATCCTGCAATTCCTACATGCATTAAAAGCCAGGTTTTATCCAGGATCTACTTGTTATTTACTGGGGAGGCCCTTATGAGTAGGTAGTCTGCCATGATGCTGAAAAGAGAAGCCCTCATTCGGTTTAAAGAATCCTGTGTATGGATTCTCTCTGCTGCTACTTTCTGTCTGGATGCTTTCAGGTTTAAAGCCCTATGATCTTGTTCCTCAAGAGATCTGGCAGGCCTTGATACCTAAAGAAAAAAATGAATGAGAAGCACAAGCCAATCTTTGTCTTTGCAGAGAGCATTTCTAGATTTTCTCCTGCTCAAAGAGGCTGTGGCCTGGCTGTCTGGTTCTGTCTCTGACCATTTTCCTTTTCTCCCCTCCTATGTTGATTAAAGTCTTCACTTTTGTGGCATTTCTGATCCCTTATCTTTGAATAGTGCTTTATAGATCACAACATACTTCCACATACACTCTCTTGCCTGATCTTCTTTGCACCCACCCCCTCTGGGGCAAGGTATCCTTGTCCCCATTTCAGAAGAATACACTGAGGCCCAGAGAGGTCACCTGACTTGCTTAGGGACATAAAGTCTATTCATCAGCAAATTAGGGCCTCCCCCCATACTTCCTGACTCCAGACCCATTGCTTTCCCCCACTAAACCCACTTTCCATGAGTGAGAAAGTAAACGCAATCAGTGATTCATTCCTTATCTAATATTTATTGCTCACCCATGATATAACAGGCACTGTTCCAGGCGTGGGAATGCAGCTGAGAACAGATCCCTTGCCCTCATTACAATCTAGTTTGTGGCAGATAATAAGTAAGCAATGATATAATACCAGAGTGACAACTGCTATGCCAAAAAATAAAACAGAATATGGAGACAGAGTAAATGGGGCTCACAGGGAATATGGGGCTGGATGAATGAAAAGAAGGAAGGAGCCACGGGAAGGACTGGGAGAGAAGCATCCCAGGGGGAAGGAGCAGCATGTACAAAGCCCGAGGCAGGAAGGAACTTGGCAGATTCTAAGAACAACTGAAGGACTCTGTGACTGCAGTGGCCCAGCAAAGGGGAGAATGGTGGCAGATGAGATAGAAGAGTGGGCCAGGGAACATGTTAAGGGAGCTCGAAGGGGAAAGTTTGAGGAAAGAAGGAAAGTCTAACCCTCGGAAGTTTGCTTCCCTTTTAAGTAAGAAGAACCTGTGTGTTGATGGGCACCGGGTTTTAACACATCTCCCTCTATTTGCTCGTCTCTTTCACAGGCCTACAGGTTTTCCCAGCTTCCTGAAATGGTCATGGGCTCTCCCCCTCCACCTGTGCCTCCGCGGACTGGCCCAGTGGCTGTCGCTTCTCTCAGGCGGTAACACATTCCTTTCTTTGCCTTATTTGGAATATTTGCAGAGGATTTGGTCCTGTGCGCCCCGCCCTGACAGATTTCCTTCCTGCCCTGCCCCATTCAGGGTGCATCACCTGTACAGACAACCATGTGCCTGGGACACCCCCAAGTACCATGAAGGAAGGGAGTGGGGGCCACAGAAGGCTGACCTCCTCTCTTACCATTGAAAACTGAAAGTCCTGTAGAACCCACAATTGAAAAAACCCAAGGTCAACTGCCCCATACCTTGACCTTGAACATCTAAAAATTACTCCAACTTGGGCCGTCACAACAGCTGCCTCAAGTCTGGGCACCTCCTGCCAGGTGTGTGCACCCAGAAGGCCCTTTGTTATTGAGGGATAGTGTCCGAGAGGCCGGGGAGCAGCATGTCTAGGCTCCTGCCCTAACTTTTGACTTCCAAGATGGAGAGGACGAAAGCCCACGAACTTGGATAGGTCAGCTGTGAAACATATATTCAGCATTCTCTTTGCTCTGTAATAATATAAAAAGCACATGTTTTAAATAAAGATAGACAAGAAACAACAGCCAAGAGCCCTGGGGGAGTTTGGAATAGTCATCATGTCCAAGGCCAGGAGAGACACCCGTGCCCTGGGGCCTGTACGGGCCACTGCCCTGGCCCTCCTACCATAGCTTCCTCCAACATGCTGATCACACACTATTTGTGGGCCACAGGTCTGAACTTTGTCAAAATGGTGAAAAGAAATGAGTTTTCCTCAGAACCGACCTGCCTTCATTTCCAGCAGTTTAGGATGCCGAGCTGTGTGTAGACACCACCCTTTGACCCCAGTCAAGCTTAGGGTGGGATGGGAAGCAGCAGACCAGGGTTCCACCCTAACCTGCCAGTAACGTGCTGTGTAACTCCAGGCACATTGCCTCACCTGTCTGGCTCCTGTTTCCTTATCTATAAAATGAGGGCAATGACCTAAATGATCTCAAAGGCTCTGGGAGTCCTCAAAGGTGGCCAAGTGTACAGAGCAGAAGCCAGGGATTTTCCTAGGATGGTTTTCTAAAGGAGTAGCAGATGCCTGGAAACAGCCTGTGGGAAGCCAGGGCTGTGGGAGTGAGCAAATGGGAGAAGGAGGGACGGAGAAAGGAAGGGAGACCCTACACTACTGAGCCCCCAGCAACACACCTTGATGTGTAGTTTAATCCTCACAGCCTGTGTTTGACCCTCCCTGGGGAATAGTTGCTTCTGAGGGTTCTGGATTGGAGGAGCTTTTCAATCAGTCGTTTGAGCTATGTTTGCTGAAGGCCAGCACCTATTTCTTTTTTTTTTTTTTTTT